GGAATTGATGGGATAAAAATTGAAATCTTTCGAGAAAGTGAGGTGGCACAAGAGGCACTCACTCATCTCTACCAAGAAATTTGGAAGACAACTATCTGACCAACTGATTGGAAGAGATTCATATTTGTGCCCATTCCAAAGAGAGGTGACCCAACGGAATGCGGAAATCGTCGGACAATCTCTTTGATATCCCATGCGAGTAAAGTTTTACTAAAGGTGAAACACAAACAGCTGCAAGCATACATTGACAGAAAAGTTAGAGAGGTTCAAGCCAGATTCAGAAGAGGCTGTGGAACGAGGGATGTTACTGCTGGTGTCTGATGGATCTTGGCTGAAATCAAAGAATATCAATAAGATGTTTACCTGTACTTTACTGACTATGCAAAGGCTTTTGATTGTGTGTGGATCATGACAAGCTATGGACAACATTGTGAAGTATGAGTATTCCAGAATACTTAATTGTGTTATGAGGAATCTGTACCTGGACCAAGAGGCAGTTGTTTGAACAGAACATGGGAACACTGAATGGTTTTAAATTAAGAAAGGTGTGTGAAAAGGTTGTATTCTTTCACCATATTCAACCTGTATGCTGAGCAAGTAATTCAAGAAGCTGGGTTATATGAAGAAAAATGTGGCATCAGGATTGGAGGAAGACTCATTAATAACCTGTGATATGCAGATGATACAACCTTGCTTGCTGAAAGTGAAGAGGACTTAAATCATTTACTTACAGATGAAGATCAAAAGCACAGCCTTTGGTATGGATTACATCTCAATGTAAAGAAAACAAAAATCCTCACCACTGGACCAATAAACAACATTCTTACCAACAGAGAAAAGATTGCAGTTGTCAAGCAGTTCATGCTTCTTGGATCAACTATCAACACTCACGGAAGCAGCAGTCAAGAAATCAAACGACGTATTGCATTGGGCAAATCTGCTGCACAGGAACTTTTTAAAGTGTTGAAGAGCAAAGATGTCCGCTTGTGGACTAAGGTGTTCCTGATCCAAGTCATAGTATTTTCAATAACTTCATATGCACGTGAAAGCTGGTCAATGAATAAGGAAGATCGTAGAAGAATTGATGCCTTTGAGTTGTGGTGTTGGAGGAGAATACTGAAAGTGCCATGGACTGCCAAAAGAACCAATAGATCCATTTTGGAAAAAGTGCAGCCAGAGTGCTCCTTGGAGGCCAAGATGTCCAAACTACGTCTCTCATAATTCAGACATATTGTCAGGAGGGACCAGTCGCTGGAGAAGGATATCATGTGTGGTAAAATGGAAGGTCAGAGAAAAAGAGGAAGACCCCTAACAAGATGGATTGGCCAGGTGGTAGTATCGATGGACTCAAGCATGGTAACAATAGTGAGGTTGGCCCAGGATCGGACATTGTTTCATTCTGCTGTGCATAAGGTCGCTATGAGTCAGTACCAACCTGATGGAACCTAACAACAACAACCCTCTGACTCAACGGCACTTAACAACAACAGCCCTTAGTAGGGTAGAGTCCTGGTGTGGCGCTGTAGGTTAATGCGTTAAACTGCAAAGTTGGTTTGAACCGCAAGGTCGGCAGTTCAAACTCACCAGCTGCTCGTCAGTAACCCTATATAGGGTCGCTATGGGTCGGTACAGACTGAACAGCAAGTAACAACAACCACACCCTTGGTAGGAACCAACTCTCAGTCTCACACTTCCAAACTAAAAACCAGAAAAAAACCTGCATTTTATCAAAGCACCCGGACCACAGATCAAATTACAGATGAGAGAGGATGCTCAGTCCTAGTAATGTTAAAAATGGCTATTTTTTGTTTGTTTGAAAAGAAAACTAACCTACAGTCAGCTAAGCTTGAATAGCTGGACTTGGCTCTGTTGTTACCTTATTGCCTGGCCAACAATTAGTAGCTTGTGTGACTCTGGACAATTTCAGTGAGTTATAAATGGGTCCAAAGAACAAAGTCACTTCTTACTTGCTGCAGTTTTGCCGGTGCCAGAGCATCTTTCTTGCTTAAAGGTGCAGTTGCAATCACCGGTTTCTTTTTCACCGCTCTTGTTTTTTCCAGGGCTGTTTCGTCTTTGAAGTTTGCATTTTGGTCTAAAATCGGTGGTGTTTCCTCCTGAAGTATATCCACAGCCAGTACATCCGACTCATCCTTGAGTCTCTCCTTCACTGGGAGCTCGGCATCAGGCTGACGCTGATCTATGTGGGGGTTTCAGAAGGTCAAAGAGAAAATGTTATTCAAAT